GTACTTTAATTTACAATTTCGAAGCTACGTACGTCAATTTTTTAATTGACGGAAATTTGAAAGTGACGTCTAACATATATATATTTATTTAACATACATTTTTTAAAATAAACCCATTTATAATGACAAAAATTATTATCCCGGAACATGCTATATACAAAGTGTCTACTAAAATTTATTGTAATGAAAAAATATATATATATTCCAATAAAATATATATATATTCCAATAAAATATATATATATATATTCCAATAAAAAAATATACTAAGATTCCTTATGTTATTACTTTGAAATTCCATGACATATCATTAATAAATAAATTAATTTTCTAGTATCATGTAATAATTCTTTTAAGATCGAATTTGGCGCAACTTTTAAATTTTCTTGTTGCTTATCATCAATAGTAAATTTTATCGGACTAGAAAAGAACAAAATTTAATATTACACAATCAAGTTCTCTACAACATGATGAATATGCAAATTATATTCCTACAAAAGTTGCTAAATCAAAATTTGTTACAAAATTATGAATTTACAACTTTTATTTCTGCAAAAAAATATGTTAAAGAAATCAGCAATCAGAATCAAAATTCATCAATTTTTTTTTTTTTTTTTTTTTTTTTTTTTGATTCACATATTTTTGCAAATCGCAATAAATAAAGTTAGTTGCAACTTTTAAACTAATTACAATTCTAAAATTGATCGTAATTTAAAACTAATTATAATTATAAATTGATTATAATTTTAATTAATTATAATTTTTATACAGTAAGGGTATTTATAAAAAACAGAATGTCAATGTTAAATAAATCATATGATTATTAAGACCACGCAGTGATAAAAGTGCATAATGACCATCTCTAAATAAGATGCTTGGGTTTTATATTAAAAAAAAAGATATTAGTGTATCTTATACGAATAATTTATTAATGAGTACATAAAGAATTTAATGATTTGATTGGCTAATACGTATAAAAATGAGTAGTTTACTAATCGTGATTGGTTTTGTATTTTTAATCCTGGTTGTATAGAGTCTGAAACTGATTTTATTTTTGCATACAGTATATTAAAACTAGTTTTAATTGGTTTTAACATGTGAAAAATAAAACCGTGTAACTTAATAAAGCCTTCGGTATGTATTTTCCTTTAAAATCTGGTTGGAGCTGGTTATCAAACAAGGTTACCATCCTAAAAAGCTTGAAAAAAACAAGTTTCGTTAAAACCTTATTAGTTTCTTTTTTCTTTTCAATCTCATTATTGTAAAAATTAGATTTCACCAAAATTCCTGGTCGGAATGTATTGGTACCTTTTTCGGATAGGCCGGAATTGATTAATTTTGACTAAAAATTTTGCTAACGCTAATGAAACTATAGCTCCTGTTAACGGGTATCCTTATGTCAAGCAAATTTCGGGCTGAAGATCACTTCCGGCCTAAAAATTTTTGGGTCATAGTATATCAAAAAATTTCCTATATATTAGTATATAAAAATGCTCCCTATGACTAAAATTTTATGCCGAAAACTTTTTTTTAAGGTCAGAAGTTAGTTGACATAGTAAAATTTCGCGTTATTTACAATTTCGTGAATTTTCTTACATTTTTTGTGTTTGTTTTGTTATACAAGATCCTGTAATTTATTGGATCTGATCTACGAAATTTATGATCGGAAGTGATCTTCAGCCCGTGACATAAGGGTACCCCTGTTAACCAATATAGCAAACCACACCCCTAACGCTGATCCGATGCATTCTGATTAGGAATTTTTCTGTAAAAATAAAATCAGATAAGCGACCCAAATATAAAAAACCGGTTTTTATATGTATATATAAAATTGGTTGCGTGTGAAATAGTGATAGGGTATATCAATTCTTAACATAATAACTTCTAAAAAATGAAGAGAACCTGGAACTTCTATTGAAGAACTGTTAATGATATATATAAAAGATTAGATGAAGAAAACACCACATTGATAAAAAATCCAGGAAATGAGAAAGAATGGAAAGATTTTTATAATACTACCCATTGTGAATTATTTGATTTTACAAATTATGAAGAAATGGTTTTTACACAAATATATCAATTATTAAAAAAAAACTTAGAAAATTCATCTGATGTAACTATAGAAACTATAAAATCCAAAAAACTATTTTACGATAAGATTATAGAAGACGCTATAAGCACTCAGCCAAAAAAAAACTTATCTGATGCAGCAATAACAAACTGTCGTAATGTAAATTTTTTAAATTAATTTAATATACGAATATTTATTTAAGCTTTTTATAATAAAAATTCTAATATTTTATACATTAATATTTAAATTAGGCATATAAACACGCACTAGATTTGATCTTAATTTTCGAGAAAAATGATATAACAAAAGAATTTTGAGAACCAATATTAAGAAAAACAAGAATGAAAATGAGATTTCTTGAAGAAGGCAGACCTGACAAGATAAATACGAAGGATTATACCGAATTATATGAAGAATTTACCCAAAAGATCATTATCAAAGCGAAAGAAGCTAAAGAAGCAACTGAAAGAAATGAATGGAAAAAAATTGTCAGAATTTATTAATAGATTTGTATTTACTTTAGTTATTACACTTTACATAAACCTCTCAGATTTAAGTGATTTAGTTAATCTTTGAACCCATTAATCATTCATGTAATATCATCATAAAGGTTTTAAAATGTTTTAATTAAAATAAATGTGGCAACAAAACCGGGTTTCTTTCGCTGTTAATTATCTAACTCTGGAGAACCTGTTTATGATATAGCCGAGCTTTCTTCACTGCAATCACTCCGAAAAGCCAAAATGTGCTCTCTTCACTATGATCACTCCGAAAGCTCGACCTTTGATTCTAAGATTAACATAATGCAAAAAATGAATATTTGAATCTGAATAAATAAAAATAAATAAAAATAAACGAAATATACTTCTCTCAAAAGCTCCGGTGCTACACTAATATTAATCGTCATAGATGCTTTAAGTAAAATGTAAAATAATTGTGCTAACCAAGTTTCCTTCACCTAATTCTGGAGAATCTATACATGATCAAGCCGAACTTTCTTCATGAAATTATTCAAAAAGCTATGATCGCTCTAAAAGCCCGACTTTTGATCCTAGATTAACATAATGCAGAAAAGTGAATATCTGAATAAATAAAAATAAATAAAAAATACTTCTCTCAAAAGCTCTGTGCTATACTAATATTAATTATTATAGATACTTTAAGTAAAATAATTGTGCCAACAAACCAAGTTTTCTTCACCTAATTCTGGAGAATCCGTACATGATCAAGCTGAGCTTTCTTCACTCCAATCACTCAAAAAGCTATGATTACTCCAAAAGCTCGACTTTTGATCCTAGATTAATATAATGCAGAAAAGTGAATATCTGAATAAATAAAATAAATCAAAATAAACGAAATATACTTCTCTCAAAAGCTCCATTGCTACACTAATATTAATCATCATATGGGCTTAAAATAGTTTAAGTAAAATAACTGTAATAACAAACCTGGATTTCTTTCACTGTTAACTAGAGCTTATAATTTTCATATTTGAGAAACCATCTATAATCTAGCTGATCTTTTCTTCACTGCAATTACTCAAAAAAAGCAAAATATACTCTCTTCACTGTGATCATTCCATCCTTAGATTAACATAATGCAAAATAAAATAAATATGTAAAATTAACGAAGTATATTTCTCTCAAAAGCTCCGTTGCCACACTATATAAATAAACACTAAAGTTAGAATATCTGAATAAAA